CCTATATGATATTAGAGCACCAGGTTTTTTTAACCTAGCCGTCTTTCTCCTCCATGGCGGTGACCACCAAATTTTCTCTCTCCCCCGGCGGTGGTACTCTAATAACTTTCTTTTTTCTATCTTTTCCATGAACACCATCCGAATTTTCTCCCTCCCCCGGTGGTGCATCTTCTCTATCTTTTTCGAGATCTTTTTCTATCATATCCATGAACACCACCCAAATTTCCTCCCTCCCCCGGTGGTAGTACTCTTTTCTTCCAACTATATTCTTTTCTGATATCATCTTCTTCTTCTTCTTAGTCGGTTAATCTTTTTTCTCTCTCTTTAATCTCTATCCTACTTTTAATTATTCTTCTCCCCCCTCTCATATATCTCTACACAAAGTCTCTCTCTTTTCTATCTCGATTCAAACAAAAAAAAAATAGTTTTGCAAAAGCAATTTATTTCCTCCCCGTTATTTTCTTCTTTCTATTTTGGTTTTATCAATTTGGCAGATATTTTCACAAAGGATTTCACCGTTGCTGGATTTCGCGGATTCTTGTCCAGTATTCACGTTTGGTGTTTATTCGGTCCGACTGCGGGAGTGTGTTAGCAAGTGATTGTCCAGTCTTCACGTTTGGTATTTATTCGTTCCGACTGCGGGAGCGTGTTAGCAAGTGATTGTCCAGTCTTCACGTTCGTCACGTTTCGACTGCGGGGGCGTGTTATAATATATTATATTATTTGAGTTATAGATATCTTGTAATATTAGGATTCTAGTATGATTCAGTTACCTAGATTAGTTAGGATCTAGTTACCTAGTGAAACTCTATTAGCTCATATTATTTCTCAATATATATTCCATGTAAATCAACTCATAATACAATGGGGGTTTTCTATTAAGTATTATTTATCTCCTTCTCCAATTATATTCTTCCTATATGAAAGATTCACAACTTTTTTTTGTTTGAAAAAGATTATAGAAGAGGGGGAGTGGATAAAACCTTATTTGTAAAGAAAATAAAAAATAAGTTTCCCATAGCTCAAATTTATGTGGATGATATTGTTTTTGGATCTATTTATAGTAACAAAAAGGATGAGTTTGTTGTTGAGATGTCAAAAGAACTAGAAATGAGTATGGTAGGTGAACTAACATACTTTCTTGGATACAGGGAAACAACTAGAAAGTGAGATCACATAGCACATACGTTAAGAATCTGGTGAACAAATTTGGGTTAGAAAAGGCAAAGTTTCTGAAAACTCCCATGAGTACAAATGATAAGTTGGGACAAGACTGTGATGCAGACACAATCGTTGATCCAAAACCGTATAGGAGTATGATATGAAGTTTTTTTTAATCTTACTGTGAGTAGACCTGACACTTATTATAGTGTAGTTGTGTGTCCTAGGTACCAAGTAAATTCTAAGGAGAGTCATTTGACTTATATAAAACGTATCATTCGATATGTCAATGGAACAGCTGACTTGAGAATTTGGTATTCTAAAGACACTAACAGATCAAAGTATTCAGACTTTGCTAGGGTATTCTGTGGAGCAGTATTGTGTCCTCGTTGCTATTGTGGCGACACATACATGTTTGTTGTAAAAATCTCAGTAGAGTCATTCGTCATCTGAAGGGAGTTCAGGATTGGAGGAAGTTCAATAAAGTGCAGATAGATGAGCTGCGTGAAGAAACACGAATCTGGGGTCAACATGTAACATTAGTAATGTTAGATTTTAATTGATGAAAGTAATTTAAACTATATCTTAAGGGGTACTGTAGAAGAAAAAAATGCGTTGAAATTAAATGAATTACGAATCTGTTTTTATCTAAACATATATGCATTTAAATCCAGTTATATACAATTTGCCCCAAAATATCAATCGAAAATACATACCTAAATTAATGCACGATGAGCCAACTAACTAGGATTACTCTAATCGTGGTATAAAACAGGTAGTAGTTTAATCGTTGAATCCACGTAATTATTAAAAATGGCAGCCTTGAAGCGTAATCACTAGTCTTCCATACGTTTCCTCTCCTCCAATGTCATTATCACAACCTAATTATGATTAAATTGAGCCTAATCCACTTAATTACTATTGAATTATTGTTAATTTTTTAATTGTGTTAGTGTCACTACTAAGGATATCATATTATACATTTTGACTTAAAATATTATAATTTTTTGGTTGTATTTCAATCATACAAAAGGATATTGTATAATACTCTTAATCATGCCGCTAACTAATTGTCAAAGCTTAAAACAATTAATTTTAAGTGCTACGTTTAAATATAAATTTAATTATTTGGTATTTAATTAACATGAGTTGGTGTTTGTATGCATTTTTCATTTTTGAGCTCGATTCATTGAACATAATAAACACAAATTTAAATTCAAGTCAATTAATATTTTCTCTATTCATAAATAAGTGTCTCTTTTCAGTTTTTACAAAGATTAATAAACTCAATAAATGTAGCTCGATTTTAGAAAAAATCACGTAAAAATGACTAAAACAACATTTATCATTTAATGATTTATAAGAGAGTGTTGAATTTGAATGCCTATCAAAGTCCACTCATCTGTTGAGACAGACTACATGTTACGACATTAGGTGACGTAACAGAATTGTTGTGTTGTCACAGTAATAAATCTACGAAAAGCAGAATAAAGAACACAACAATTTAATGTGGTTCGGATACAAATGTACCCTACATCCACGAGGACTTGCAAAACTAGTTCAGATTTAAGTGTACATTAATAGGACTTAATAAAACACTAAAGACTCCCTCTTTATGTGATACGCCGTTCTTGCACACGACTCGAACTTGTTGATAATCAAAGCAATTCCTCCTCCGCACTCTTGGACTTCCTCCAATGTTGAACTTCCTTCAAACGGCGGATCGACCTCTCCCGAGATCTTTTAAGCACTTCTCCCGAAACGCCGATCTTCTTTATGGCCTGGTAGAAGAAACATATTCTGTTGCCACACCTGCCGTGCAGACAGGGCTGCAGCACGGGCTGCACCCTTCAAAGCCTTTATGCTGAGATTTTTCTTATTAAAGCTCCATGGGACTCATATGAGGTTGAGGGCCTTATATAGGCACGAAATCCCCCACCATAAACCTAACTTGAGCCCTAAGAAATCGATTAACTAGGTAATAGAATTCTAGTTGATTTCTACTTCTATTCTAGATAAGTACAAAAGATACCTAACTAGAATATAATACATGGAAATAAATTTAAGTCCTAATAAAAATATAACAAGAATAGGACTCTAATTAATTCCAAAATAAACATGGAAAATAAATCTTTGCCAATCTTTAATTTCCACGTATGGCGGATTTCTTCAATCTTCACAAACGGAAATTTGGTGCCAACAGAGAGAATTAATGTTTTGAGCTGCGTTAATAAGGTAGAAACCGGAAAAAATGTATTTAAGGAATTATTGGAAATTTAAAGTGACAATAATATTGAAAAAATAGATAGTTATTGTGGAACAGAGGGAGTAACCAATAATATATTTATAAAAGTTCTTGTGTAATTTGTTGAAACCAATAAAATTGTTTTGAAGTTCGAGAACACTTCAATCGGATGCATCGATTCAAATTCGAGCTCGATTCACTTACCTCTTCAAATGACACAAATATTGAGAATTTTTTTGCATAATAGTGGATAGGACAAGCAATTGAGCCGGGCCTAATCGCAGCTCGATGGCTCGACCCAATTATATTTGAGCTGAATCTAATTTTTAGTGAGGTGAATCGAGTTTGAGCCATTAAATTCGATTTACTTATGAACCGACTTTGAGCCTACTAGCTCAACCCAAATCAGACCGACCCGATTAAATTAATAATAAAAATATAATATATTTACTATTTTAATGATATACATCTAGAAAAGATTTGAAAGTATATTTAGAGTAACTTCTAATTGTTTAATGTTTTTTCACTTAGAAATCATGATAAATTTTTGGTCATATAATTAGTTAATTAACTATTAAATATTTGTGACTTTAAAATTCATTTGTTTCAAGGAATATACATTGTTTTCATCTTATTTTGTATCTATGGTTTCTATATTATTTTGCTCTTCATGAATATTTTAAGTTTTGGTCTTTTGATGCGAATGGTATTTTTCATTTTGAACGCTTTCGTCTGCAAAGTTATAAAATATGTAATTTGTATATTGTTCGATATAAGCGAATATAAATCCCAAAATCTGAAAAAAATACATAGGCCGAGTTTAAACCTTTAGTAAATGAGACCCAACAGTATATAAGTTTGAGTCTAATGTAATGAAGTGCGATAACATATGAACTTGAGTCAACTCAAGCTCTGTTCACATTGCCCGATTGACAGTCCGTAGCGGAAAAAAAAAATTGTTTCAAAACCATTTATTGATCGTATGGGACAATTCTATTTCTATATGACATATATGTGTGGGACCCAAAACAAAATGTCAAACAAAAAGAAAAAGAAAAATAATAAAATAATGAAAATCAGTGATTGGAAGATGAGTTGTGACTTGTGAGAGAGAAGAAATCCTATGCTATATAATGATGGGCAGGTGAAGAGCTCTAACACCACATTATAGAGAGAGAAAAAAAGAGTGAGCCTAGAGAGAGATTAATTTCAATTCTTTCTTCTTCTCACTTGCACACACTTCACCTTTTTTTTATTATCTTTTCTTTTCTTTTTTTCCCTTAATTGCTATTTTTTTTATTATCTTTTTTTTTTCTTCCTATTTGTTTTTGCAATTTGAGGGCTTTATTAGTTGTTCCCTCAAGTGGATTTCAAGGGTTGTCTATTTGTATACCCTTGCATAAATCCAAGTAACAAAATTATATTAATTAAATAAATATTTTTTTATTTTTTTTATTTTTATTTATGTGTGTGCTTAAATCTTTCTTAATTTTGTTGTTAATAAACAGCTCTCCTGTTCTTTAATTTTACTAAGAAACAGGCCCTTCTGCTGTTTTTATTTCATTTTATTTTATTTTTATTTTAATTCGATATTTTATTATCGAATAAACAATTAATTAATTAATTTCTAGAAAAATGGCAGCTACCATGGATTTTTGGGGTAGTAATGTTGATGAAAATTCATTTAGGGGTGGTGGTGAATTAATGGAAGCACTTGAACCTTTTATGAAAAGTGCTTCTTCCACACCCATTTCTACTTCTTCCACTCTCCCCCCTTCTCTCTCTTCTAATTATCCTCCTTCCTTTTCTTCTTTTCCCTCAAACAATAATGACCAATATTTTAGTGTCATTAATTATCCTAATTCCGCCTCCAGTTCATATCCCTACAATTCGTACAATCCCTCTCCTCAATTTGAACCCACTCCTAATTATTCGTTCGGGCCGGTCCAGGACGTTCAGATGTGGGGCCCACTTCAATCCCATAATAGTAATTTCCCTATCCCTAGGCCCGTTTACGTGCCTCCGAAGCCGGCGAAACTGTACCGGGGAGTGCGGCAGCGCCACTGGGGGAAATGGGTGGCGGAGATCCGCCTCCCCAAGAACCGCACCCGCCTCTGGCTCGGCACCTTCGACACGGCGGAGGAGGCGGCGCTGGCCTACGACAGGGCGGCGTACAAGCTGAGGGGTGACTCGGCGCGGCTCAACTTCCCGCACCTCCGCCGCGCCGGCGGCGAGTACACGCCCCTCCATGCCAGCGTCGACGCCAAGCTGCAGTCCATCTGCCGGAATCTGGCCGAGGGCAAGAGCGTCGACGGCGGCGCCGCCAAGAAATGCAAGAAATCCAAAAAGGCAGCCTCCACCGCCGCCGCCGCCGCCACCACGGCGGCGCCGACTGTGAAGGAGGACAGCAAGTACCGTCAAACGGTTGAGCCCGAGAGTGACGGTTCGGGTGGGCTTTCACCCGAATCCGAACTCAGGTTCCCGGATTTTGAGTTTCGGGTTTCGGGTTTCGCGGAGGAAGAACTGCCCGGATGGGAGATGGGATCGTTGCCCAAATATCCATCATATGAAATTGATTGGGCTGCTTTGTAATTTAGTGAAACTAGCAGCCCTTTCTTGCAAAAAAAATATTAAAATAGGTTTTTTTTTTTTTTTAAATATGTCGGTTGGTGCTGCTGCTGCAATGAAGTTTTTGGCATTTGCAGCATAGCACATAGTCTTTGAAATTTATTTAATGTATTTGTAGATTAATTTAGGAGGTTAATTATTGGTAATTTGTAATTAGATTAGTCTCTAATACTTGTTTAGCTGGTTTTAACATGGCTAAACCAGATCAGGGACGCATTTGATTCTTTTGTAATTTCATATTGTTTATCTTTGTAATATTATTTAGCATTTAGTTATCTTTTGACATGACTCTAAGATTGGTTTCATTTTTGTGATGTCTTATTATATGGATCAAATTAACTTACTATGAACAATAATTTCGAAGGAACAAACCATGTGATTCAAAAAGATTTTGTTCGAACGATGTTGTCCGAATGATGCTACACTCAATCAATTTCGTCGGTTACCTAATTTGTTTACGTGTGATAAAATTTTGCCTGAAAATCGAACAGATTGTAACAAATTTTGGCATTATTGGGGGGGAAAAAATCTGATTTTTTTCTGAACCAAAATTTGTTTTTCATCTTACTATCCAAATTTTTGGATTTGTTTTGGAAATTCTTATGAAATACTTTGGAAAATCAAGAATTTTTTAAACATGAAAGAATGAAAAAATGCAAGTCAAAACTTGCGCTATGGTTGTTAAATCGTGAATCAAATTGAAAATCGTTTTGTAAAAATGTTGAGTCGTAACTTAGAAGAGTTTTTATTTTTTCTTAAACAATGTTATAAATATTAATATATTAAATGATGAGAAAAATACAATTGAAGTCCCTTATATTTGCTCATAATTCACATTTGGTCCCCTAACATATACAAAAATCACATTTGGTCACTTAAGTTACAACATTATTACGCGGTTGGCCCCCATTCCATCAAATTAAGGTAAAACCTTTGATGCAAGATTTGTCTTTTAACGGATCAGTCTACTTTACAAAATAAACTGTAGCGATTTATGAAGAATTAAATTCCATGCCATATATGGTTATAAAGATGTTGAAGTCTAGTTTTCCAACAACAAAAATAATGGTTTACCAAGAAGTTGATAAGTCATTCAAGTTGGTATTTTCCTATGTTTTGGAGAGATGTTTCAAAAATCCCATATAAGGCTTATCAATGAATAAAATCAGTATAAGCATTTAAGTTTAAAAATATGTTGAAAGTATCTTGCATCGAGAGTGAGTGATTCATCTTTAAAAGTGAGTGATTGGTTTAGTCGAGTGATTCCGCGATTAATGGCGTTGAGTAATTCCGTTTCCGCCAGTTGAGTGATTCCCTCTCATAATATATTCTCTATTTCCTTTTACGTTGCGGGTTTCAATCAACATCAAGCATCAAGAGACTAAAAATGTTTCATTTTAGAATAAGAAGGATGAAAAATATTTTAGTCGTATATATGAGGGACCAAAACTATTTTTTCCCGTTCTTTCTGACTAAATTTTGTTAATTACTAACAACACATTAATGGAGAAGATCAAATGCTTCATAATGTGGTAAATCGAGGGACCAACAATATTTGTTTTCCGTAACATGGGGGAACGAAAATAATTTAGCCGTAAACATGAATGATCAAAAGTGTATTTTTCCATTAAATCATATAGACATATATATGATACATTGCATAGTATTAATTAGAAAAACAAAATATATCCCATAAGAATCTCTAGGGATAATTATAGTTTTAGTCCATATATTTACCATCCAAAACGATTTTAGTCATCAAACTTTTGTTGCCACTAAATTAGTCGTTAAAGTTACGATATTTTAACACTTTTGGTTCGCGTGTTGAATTTCTAAGTTAAGATGAATGGAATGTCACATACGCCGCAATGACATTTATTTGGCAGTCAAAATTGAGTTAGAATACACCCTTAGGCTTTTTATGAGATTAAACATAAAGGTGGAGTGACACCTCATTCTCTCTCCCAATTTCCTTTTGGAATCCTCCAATTGAGCTGAAATTCGGTAACACAAGAATTGCAAAACTCTACCTTAGCAAGTTTTGGATTGTTTGTCACGTTGAACATCTCAATCGCGCAACCAACATCGTCGATTTTGGTAAGTTTCTTCAAATCTGCTAACTTTAAACTTCAATTTTGGAATTTGACAGGTTGTAGATTTAATTTAATTTCAAGTTGTTCATTGTAGCATTAAAAGACAAGTAGAAACTCTAATTACAGCTTTCAGGGTTCATATCCAGTGAGCTCTGAGGCTCATTCAACCCCACAAGTGACTCGTATGTTGAATCCATTTGCCATTAATGGAGTAAAATGCGTTTATTTTATTTCAACCCATCTAGGAAAAATAGCTCACAAACCATAAGAGATAAACTTTCTTGAAATTTATTGAATGTAGGATATATTATATATGGTGCCACTAATTGGGGATTAAATTTATTTTAAAAAGCAATTTTTTTCCATAATTTAACATTAGTTATGGATTGTAATTATCTTATTTAATTTGTATATTCTTGTTTGGTGACAAATTTCAATCCAATGGACTTGAATACTTTTCTTCAAAATGCTCTTTTTGGCCGACGGACCACTTCACTATAGCACGCGCATGGATTCTAATAATCAATTCTTATCTCTCTCAACAATTTTTGCCTTACCATATTTTCTTATTCTCTTGCTTTTATTTCTTACTATAATTTAATATCAAAACCAAATCACGAAACAGTAGAACGACCATAAGAAGTTTTAGGTTCCGTAGATGCTACACTCAGTAAAATACATGGCGATTTTAAACAATTCATCTTCACATAATAACACACAGCTATGTGTGTGTGTTTAGTGAATAGTTATTTATATAGATCTACGGTTAAAAATCACCCGATGTGTTACACCAAGTGTAGCATCTCATAAATCCGAAATTTTATTAGGTTAAAAGAAAATCATATAAACAATTCTTAATCTAAGCCTATGAAGTTAAGAACAAGAACGGTCATACTATTTGAATGGCTTCGTATGGTCAATGATGGGCCTAGAACATGATAAAAGGTCCGACTTAAAGAAACTGTTGACGGACTGGATGTTGTCGGGCCCACATGATCATGTCGAGGTTGACATTTTTGGAATGAGAACCGTTACCGTTAAATTTCTATTTTATACAATCGGGACTAACAAAATTCTATTAATTTAGTGAAATATTAAATTATCAAAACTAATAGTTTAGTGTTTTTTTATGGAGTAATATTATTTAAACGAGATTATTAATTTATCAAAGTTCTACACTTCTAATGTAGAACAAACTTTTTGTTGACTCGGTAGCAAGCCAAGTGAGGACCAAGGATCCACATAGCGCGAGCTAGGCTGCAAGGCATCGATTAAAATATGATAGGATATAATTAAATTACTCGACAGTCGAGGAGTCGTAATAATAAGAAGAAAAAAGACGAAACAAAAAAAACATAATTTTGAACAATCTAGATACGAACAGTTTTCTGATACGTTTGAGATAAAAATGAATACTCTCAAAAGAGAAAACAAAAGGATTAAATGAGATGAAATCATTGTACTGAATTATAAACTAGGGCCTCGTTTGGTTGCCAAGATGCCAAGATAAGATTAGTCAAGATAAAATTAAATAATTTAATGACAATCCAATTATTTTATCGGACCCCAAGACATCCTACAAAAATACTTCCTAAAAGGCAAGATAATATAATATTTGCGGGTCGACCCGGCAAGTTATTGAGGATACCAAACATCAAACAAAATCCAACTATGTAGTTAAGGATGACAAATCTCCCTAACCAAACGAGGCCTAGCTGAACTTTCCATCTATACACCAAAGGGGCAAACAAATAGCATTATCAAAGTTGCTTCTGAAGCAGATTAAATGAGATTAAATATCAAAACTAGTATAAATACAGTCACAAAAATCTATTGCCAAAATAAGACAGAACCAGAAACTATGAAACAATTGCTACAATTATTAATCTATTCAATTAACAAATATCACAAAACTAATGTAGCTGCGACCGTGAAGTTGTTCGATAACACTTAGCAGGGAAAAACCTGTACCGTTGTACGAGTACCGTTCTGTTTTTGAAGGGAATGGTTTTCTCTGGCAAGCGAATTTCGATCCCAAAAGCACCATGCGACATTGTACAAGCATCAATAATCAGCTGAACTTACCTATTTCCATTTTCTTTTTAATTGCTTTTTGACCATGATATACGAACGAGTCGATGATTCCCGATACTGTGAATACACCTGGACACGAAGCACAAGTAATGAATGTATGTAATTATGAGATGGCGCTGGTATAACTCTTTGTTTTAAAATTAATATAGCACAAAAAACAAATCATTGAAGCGAATATTATTGGAAATGACCGAGATTTTCTAGACGAGTGGGTTGATTAATTACCTCCAACAATGGCACAGACATTCGTCAAGAAGTGCAAGAACGAAACGTGCGTCTCTGTGAAAGTTACCTGGTACCAGGAAATGAATTGATAAGCAGAAATATTTTATGCCGATTAAGAAACAAGACAAACTTCGTTAAAAGGGTTTAATGGAACTCTTATTCGGGAATATGATACACACCTTAATTGGTGAAAGGTCGTAAAAAAAGAATGCTCCGGGAAGAGTTTGAAGTCGACCCAATTCTGATCCTTTAACATGTTCGGTTACAGAGAACTACAATAACATAAAAAAGTTCATCAATTTGATGTCCAATTAAAGAAAATATTTATGTACGAAAAAATTCAAACACAAGAAACTCTGTAATTTTAGTAGTGATAGAACCTGATTCGACTGGATAGCATGTCCATTGACATCTGTGAATACAGTTGGCACAACCTGCAACATAGAAATTTAGTACTCCCACCGTCCCGATTTAAACGACATTTTGGGTTGTTGCGCACATATTAAGAAAATCAATAAATTGAATTAACCTGAGGACAAATCTTAACTCTGCAATCTCATAAAGGAACCGGGGCATTATAAGGTGGAATATATTAGTAAATAATCTAGATGAACTTAGCAAGCAACACACTTCATTACATAAACAAATACGGAGTAAAACGAACAGTTACAAAAAATAAAGCAAAAAACTTAATCACAAACGTAGATGTGTTCACGTAAACCACTGACCTTGAGGAAATACTGATACATTGCATTTGGTGTCTGTTGTATCCATTCCACACTGCAGGTAGAAAGAAACAAATGCATATACGTTTTACGCCACGTGGCAAATTATCCAGACAGATTGTAAGAGCACGCCACTAAAAATGGCTGTAGGAAATGAAAGGACAAAAATACCCATCGAGAGGATTGACTACACCCGGGAAGTAGTCTCCGAATGCTAATCTGTTGATCGTGTGACTTATCTGTCGTACAAATCCTATATTTTATTAACCTCGGTCTTATAACTTTATTATGAAACGATGAAGGTAGTATCTCGTTTGAAGTGCAGCAAATGAAAAGTTTAAAAAAGGATATCTTACATTAAAACTGTCCTTTTGAAAGGCTAGCAGGTCATGAACGTGCACATTGGACTGTTGGAAACTCTTGCCAGGGGCAAAATGGAAATTACCAGCTACCTTATTGACATCCAAGAATCCATATATGTTACATCCTTCCCCATCTTCATCTTTGATCATTTGGAGAAAACCTTCTCTTTTGCACTGTTTTGTTTTGATTAAATATGAAAATCGTAATAAGTATACAGTTAAAGGTCGTGGTAAACAATATATAAATTTAAAATCATAATAAATGATGCTTTTGTATTGTTATAGACGTGTAATTTTCGGCATTCTTTTTCTCTTCCTTATAAAATCATCATTTAATTAAAAAAATAAATAAGAAAAGGAATGCTGACAAAAAGAATAAACCTCGATTATGTTGGGGAACTGACAAATATTACAGGAAAAACGGTCGATAACTTGGTGTGGGGGTTGTTATAGAATACTTCTCTGTTACAATTCTCTTAATAACTCATTGTAATTCTAAAAATATGGGTCATATAAACTTCCCAGATATACACGATCACATAAAAACTTGTTAATCGTGTCACAATAAAATGAACAGCATTCCATGAAATCACGAGATGAGCATAAGTCTTTCGCACAGAAGGTTCCGCAAAAACCATGGTTATAATTCATGTAAATAGTAAAAGATGCCTTCAAATCAAACAGGAGCCTGTACACTATTAAATACATAAAATGAAGTTCAAATACTTGCTTTCTGGCTTATTTTCGATTCAGAAAACCCGTGGTCATGTTACTTTAGATAGCTATACCTACCCTCGAAGTACGATTTTTCCATGACTTATCCAAAAACTGTTTTTCCCTCTACCTTTATCACAAAACATTTCCTTCGTTCATATTTACTATTAATATTATTCACCTCTGATGTTCACGTTTTAAAATATATCAGTTACTGTAGCGGGCTACTGACTGACAGGTGGGAAAACAACCGAGCATAGAATCTTTCAATTTACAATAGAAATTTGTTCGATGCTGCAGTCATCATAATGTACATTTTTGGCACTAATCAACGGGAGTTGTTATTTCCACACCCTACAGTGATATCAAAACTCTCTCGAATAACTGAAAAAGGGATAATTGGATCTCTAGCGTACATGGTTTTTAAACCATCAGTAATGTCTATTATATTTAAAAATTTACCATGAGATGGTCCTTTAAGAATTGACGGTTAATCTAGCAACATTCTTCAGAAACCTTCATTTTCAAGACAAGAATCTAACTCTAAAGTTCACTGCTACAAGAAGGGGAATACTAACTTAGTGAGAGGTAAAGCTTATGTGTACATGCAACTACTTGTCATAATTTTCAAACTCCGGTACAAGAAAAAGCATAAGAAACGAACCTGATCGACCAAATCCGGATTTGATAATGCCCAACCTTTCTTTCTATACGCTTCACGAACTTCTTCACAATTGTTACAACATTCATCTTCTGACTGCACATAAAACACAAAATCTGATGAAATACATGCAACCGCAAGATTCTACGGATAATAAACAAAGCATAATGCATAACCATACCGACTACAACTTTGAAAAAAAAAACAGATCAGAGTGAAAACTTGTAAAAATAGGATAATAAGACAGCAATCAACACTTTGATCGACAAACCACGCAACAGACTGAAATATTTAAAAGAATACAATGGTGTATTCAGCATAAAATATCGAAGAGGAGGGTACCGTTTCTGCACCAAAACATGAACCACAATAGGTTTCGTTGTGTTCGAGTCTTCCACCATGTCTTTGTAAAGGTCGTTCAATCTATGCCAATTACAAATAAAGAGTGGAGACATCTGTCAGAAAACTACAGTGAAAACCAACTTTACATCTTCCTACAATAATATGAAGATTAGCATTTACATATGTTTGTGAGCAGTCAATTACTAGATTTCACATTCCGGAGGATGAAAATATCCTCTAAAGCTAAAGAAATAACTGGATACTTTTCAAGTGCTCATTCATTCATATTTAATTTCATAGATTAAACGAATGACTAACCTTGGGACCCCCAATAGTATCAGGCCTTGTTTCTATGACATTACCATGAGCATCAATCCTCTTCTTGATAATGTCATGTCTCTGCAGAAATAAAGGCAATGTCATTTAACGAGCCATTAAGATAATATTACTTCACAGTTTTGTAGTAGATTATTTTAATTTTTTTTTTTCTCTTTTTAGAACGATAAGGGGAGAAGGAAAATATTTGACACCATTGTGAACCTCGCAACCACAAATATTACTGCCCAGCAACAACTGGAGCAACTAAGAGAAATGGAGAAAATTCCGGTTAGGGTCGAAAACTACGGGAATTAGGAAAAGAAGAGAAGAAAAGGTGAAGTTCTCAAGAAAACTTGTTTGGCAGTGTTCACTTCCAGTTGTTTGCTTCACAAATGAATCCAAATATAGATATATATTTCTGGTTAGTGATCCTTTACAAGTTTTTTCTGCGAGATTCATAAACAATATAATAAGGCCTCGTTTGGTTGGTAAGATAAGCCATCAATTAATTAAATAATTTGATGTTTGGTTAGATGAATAACTTTTCGAGCCGGCCTACAATTACGAGATAAATGAGTTTTTCTCTTGGTTTTGGCGAAATTGTGGACCTCCCCTAGTCTAATTGTACAACTGGTTATCATAAGATTGTATAATCTTATCTTAGCTAATCACACCTTGACAATCAAACGAGGCCTAAAAGGTAGGCCGACATTTTATTTTGTACTGGAGACATTTTTTCTGATAAAATGAAGTACATTACAGCTTATGAAATTTAACTGATTGGAAATTTTCTGCATGTTAGTATATGCAACAATTGACAGATGTAATCACTTTAGAGAACTTACGACATCCAAGTGTTGCTCTCCGCTGATATCCATGGCATCAAGACTAACCATAGAACATGCAAGTGCTGGAAAAGTCACATCAAACTGCAATTTTAGATGTAATCGAGGAAACAGTTAATAAGTTTTCAAGTTAAGTACAGCTTTACACTAACACATACCGAGGAGCAGGAGAATAATAATAAGAAAAAAAAGTGATGTAAGATGGTTATGATATGAATGAAAAAATAAACAGCGCAGAATTGAAAAAATGAATTGTCTAGCTGATATATCAAGTTTACAAATTCATGAGCTTAAATATCGTCAAGCCTTTTTTTCATTTTCTCTCCCTCTTTTTGTTCGAATCAGCCAAACTAGAATCGAGTGTACGTTAACATTGATTTGGGGGGAGATGATTTAGAGGCAAAACATTACCCTACGTTAATAAAACAAAACAACTGACTAATATAAGGACAAATGTAAAGTCCATTGAGATTCGTTCAGATTTTATACTTCAATAGTTGTATCCTCCCATCACAAAGAAAAAACGAAAACCAATAAAAGAGTCTAACAGATTTTGAAAGGTATACAATTTTGAGTAAAGCAAAAGCGAAATGCAGAAATGATGAAAATAGTCTACATTAATGCGAAGCCTTTCTCCTCTCGACGTATCAACCACTAATTTTGTCTCAGTTACCGAATGAAGATATAATCCTGCAAATGAAATTAGAATAATAAGGAAAAGATGTAAAACCAATTAATGATAATAGTGATCATAAAAGTGAAAGAAACGCAGATTTTCAAACAGTTTTATGATTGTGAGGTGACCATATAATCTAGAGAGTCGAGGATCTACGAAAACTAGTAGCCACACTTGACATTACAAACTAGAGAAATCCTGCAGAACTTCAAATACTATGAAGAATGTCCGGGACACCAATTAACTTACTTCAATGGGGTAAAAATTGAACGAAAAATCGTAAAGGATGAAATTTACTCCCCAGTCCCTTAAATGTCAGTGTTATACTAACATTGAAGGAGTCAGTTTCATAAGAACTATACTGTCCAAAAAAATAAGTTGCTGGAAACAAAATCCATAAAGCTTGATAAGCTTCTGAAAATTCAACATTTAAAATGAATATGACGTAATTTTGAATAACAAGAAAAATTGAAGAGACAAAGAAGCTAGAGAAGACAAAGACATAATGGTGTTCGTCCATTTGGCCCACACACGTGGATAAAATGCCCAAAGGGCTATAAGACCTATACCCTATATTTCCACGTGAATAGACGTTTGAAAATAGTTTAGTTAAAGTGAACATAACAATTTAAATAAACCAACATTTCTGCTATTCCAAGGAAGGATTATGCAATATTCAATCTATTATTATCATATGATAATAATAGATTTTTTGACAACGTGGACAAAACAAATCGAATGTTCAACTTGAACAATGGCAACGGCAATGGCAATTTTTTGAGTACTAATCAAATATTCAGTATCCCAGAAATCACACATTATCCAATCTATTCTGGTATAATTTTCACTCTCAACACTCTCTTCAAGTTAAAAGCAGAATAATTTGTTCAAATGTTCATCGAGAAGAATGGAAATCGCAGCATCGAGAACAGCATTTCTAGATTGAAATAGTCGAGATAAAAGTTGTTCCATGAAGTGAATATTAAAAAAAATTAAACAACCCTTAACTTTTCAGTTGGTGTTCTTCAAACATATATACATATTTATCTTCAGAGGTTAATTAAATCAATCACCGACTTAATAAATATTGGTAGAGAGTTCTTTCTACTGGGAAACTGAAGAACGAACGCACTACCCATAACCTTATATGGAAAAACCCGGGGCTTGCTTTATGTAACTGTCAGTCCTAAAATATAACTCCGTCAAAATCCTAAATCGAAGAACCAAACCCATTCCTCTCTTTTAAACACTCCATTTTGCCAGCAATTCATCAACTTCCTTACAGAAAATTAACAATTCAAATATCTCCAAAATTTCACAGATAGTCAATTGATTAAACAACACGCAAAAGTATCAATCAAACAACACAAGATCACAGCATAGTTGAACGCATACATCCGAAAATAGTCACAAATTCGAAGAAAAAAAAAAGCATCTGCAGAGAAACGAAGAAAAGAGAGAGATATAGAAATACAAACTGAGCTCGGAGATGAAGAGGAGGAGCATAACAATGGAGGAAGCAAGGGTTATAACACCGCCGGAGAGGGTTCTGCTATAGAAATCCTCATTGATTTTAGGGTACGCATCCAGGCTCCGCAGTTTCCCAATAATACTTTCCATCATCATCTAAATACACGCCCAATTGTTAGAAGAACAATCAAAATCGAGAATTAAATTATACAAAATTGGATGGGATCAGACGCCGGAATGATGATCGAAAACCCGCCGGAGAGGGTTTCCGATCAGGCGGTTACAGATTATATGCTGAAATTAATAAAAGTACAGACAGAATGTCTAATTATTATTATTAAATAATTAAAAGAGAGAAGGTAGAAGGACTCGCCGGAGAAGAGGTCAGCGCTGTTTCTTAGGCTGGCTGCATCTACGCTCTCTTTCTCTCTCTTCTATCTCTCTCTATATGTATTATTTCCTGGGTCAAAGTTTCTTTTCGGACTTAAATTAATTACCGTTTCATATTTTTAAGATTTTTTTTTTAAGCTTTTATTATTTTAGATTAGAAAATGTCTCCGAGCCCATCTTGTTGAAGCAATTTACAAAGGAAAATAAATACATTAAATGAGGATCGGGATACAAATTACAATGAGTTTTTGTTATATAAATTTCGAAAAGGGAGCTCATGACCAAAACGGGCGCTCTCAAGTACAAGCCCAACTTGGGCGTGTGCGCTGTTTTTGGGCACCCATTTTGGGCGCCGACAACTCCAGTCCTCTTTTTTTTTTAATTATTAAATAAAACTGTAACTTTAGTTTGTTTCATAGTTATTTCAGAAATAACAACAACATTCATCTACATTTGAAGTTGCTCGTAGTGATTATTTTATAGTAATATAATTATTTTACTCAAGAGATGAATTGATAGATTGGTTGAGAGCGACCACCAAGAGTCTTGGTGTAACATTGGTGAAGCGTAGTAGTCATAAGAATAAAATATATCTTATGGTGATGTATTTGGGATGAAGCGAGTAACTGACACAAACATAGATGTGGAAAACAAGAGATGGCATGGCACCAAAACATGTTATTGTGCTTTTCAGATGGTGGGTGCCGAACATTACGGGATAGATGTCAACTTAGGATATCACATGGGAAGCATAATCAAGATCACATATATTTGTGGGGGCATCGATCTAGTAAAATGATTAAGGAGGAGGTGGTCATGATTCGAATGTTGGCAAAAATTCATGTGCCGCCGAAGAAGATTTTAATACATTTGAATGAGTATAATTTGGTCGAGGATGTGCCTTTGAGAAAGATATACAATGAAAAGGCGAAAATGAAAAAGCAACTAGGGGTGGGCATAGAGTTATGCGGCATTTGGTTGGGTTGCTTGAGGAACATAATCATTATAAGTGGATTCGCACTAATTCAACTACACATAAATTTATTGATCTGAAGTGGGCTCACCCTCCGTTGCCAAAATATTGAGGTTGTTTTCGTATGCTCTATTATTCAACAGTACGTACAAAATAAATCAACACAAAATGCCTTTGTGGAGATTATTGGTGTTTGTCCCAAGGGTCTGAATTTTACTGTCGCAGTGGCGTTTATGAGCCACGAAAATGAAGAGTATATTATATATGGGTATTGAGCAAAATGAGAAGGATATTTGTCTCAGACAATCTACCGGGTGTAGGTGTGAATGATAGAGAATTGGGACTCGTGAAGGCGTTAAACAATGTGTTTCCGGATTCATATCATCTTCTATATACCTTTCATATCAAAGCTGACTTTGTGCTTCTTTCTGTATTTATGAATTTTAAACCGATATATAAAATTGGTTTGTTTGGTATTAACAGGTTTAGCATGTTAGATCCGTTAAATTTGGGTTTCAAGCGGGGTTGGTCTAGGTTTAGATTTATATGGGTTGGGGCAGTCTGGGTTCTAAAAACCTTTCATGGGTCAGTTCTCGGGTTTAGGCAAACCCGGCCTAGGACCGACCTGTTGCCATCCCTAGTTTCACTCCCTCGAATCTGCTCCATCTCTACTCTCCATCGTTGCATCTTCGAAGCTCTACACACAAGCACACACATATAATCACACACCTACAAAAAAATATACCCAACCACACACACGTACACACATACGATTTTGGTTACTCTCTTTTTCCCTTTGCTGTAACCTAATAATTATGGAAACCCAAAAGAGAAAATATGAAGAATTGTATTATTTCCTACTTTGGGGTGAAAGTTTCTTTTGGGACTTGAATTAATTACCGTTTCATATGTTTACGAATTTGTAACGATACACACTAATATTCTCCCTTCATCTCTCTCTAGAAGATTTTTTTTAAGCTTTTATTATTTAGATTAGAAAATGTCTCCGAACCCATCTTGTTGAAGCAATTTACAAAGGAAAATAAATACATTGAATAAAGATCGGGATACACATCACAATGAGTTTTTATTGTATAAATTTCGAAAAGGGAGCTCATGACCAAAACGGGCGCGCACAAGGACAATTCATGCCCAACTTGGGCGTGTGCACTGTTTTTGGGCACCCATTTTGGGCGCGCACAAGTACAATCCATGCTCAAGTACTTTTTTTCCTTTTTTTAATTATTAACTACAATTCTAACTTATTTTGTTTCATTAATTTTTTTTCAGGAATAGCAACAACTTTCATCCACATTTGAAGTTGATCATAGTGACTATTTTATAATAACATAATTAGTTTACTTGAGAGATGAGTTGATAGATTGGTTGAGAGCGGCCACCAAGAGTCTTGGTGTAACATTAGTGAAGTGTAGTAGTCATAAGAATAAAATATATCTTATGGTGATCTATTTTGGATGAAGCGAGTAACTAACACGAATAAAGATGTGGAAAACAAGAGATGACATGGCACCAAAAAATGTTATTGTGCTTTTCAGATGGTGGGTGCCGAACATTACGGGATAGATGTCAACTTAGGATATCACATGGGACGCATAATCAAGATCCCGTATATTTGAGGGGCATTGATCTAGTAAAATGATTAAGGAGGAGGTGGTCAAGACTCAAATGTTTGACAAAAAGTCATGTACCACCGAAGAAGATTTTAATACATTTGAATCAGTAGAACTTGGTCCAGGATGTGCATTTGAGAAAGATAAACAATGAAAAGGCAAAAGGGAAAAGGGAGATTAGGGGGGGGGGGGGGGGGGGCATACAGTTCTGCAGCATTTGGTTGGGTTGCTTGAGGAACATAATGATTATAAGTGGATTCGCACTAATTCAACTACGCATAAATTTATTGATCTAATGTGGGCTCACCCTCGGTTGCCAAAATGCTGAGGTTGTTTACGTATAATTAATCTATTATTCAACTGTACGTACAAAACAAATCAATGCAAAATGCCTTTGTGGAGATTATTGGTGTTTGTCCCAAGGATATGAATTTTACTGTTGCAGTGGCGTTATGCGTTATGAAAATGAAGAGCATTATATATGGGTATTGAGCAAGATGAGAAGGGTATTTGTCTCAGACAATCTATCGGGTATAGGTGTGAATAATAGAGAATTGGACGTATGAAAGCGTTAAACAATGTGTTTCCGAATTCATATCATCTTCAATATACCTTTTATGTCAAAGTTGACTTTGTGATTCTTTCTGTATTTATAAAATTTAAACCGATATATAAAATTGGTTTGTTTGGTGCTAACAGGTCTAGCGGGTTAGACCCGTTAAATTCGGGTTTCAAGAGGGGTTGGTCTGGGTTTAGATTTGTATGGTTTGGGGCGGTCTGGCTTCTAAAAACCTTTTAATAGCCGTATCTTTTATGTATCTTTATTAATATATATATATTATAGATAAATATTGTATTATAGGTATGTATATCTCCTAGTTCCCTTGTGTAAAGGGTTAGGGTTTTCACACATGTAATATATATATATATATCACAATAAACGTGAGAGATATTTATTCTCTCTTATCTCCAAATATCCCTTCTATCATGGTATCAAGCCAAAAACCCTAAGCCGCCGTTTCTCTCCTTCCTCAATTTTTTTTCTTTTTTCGCGGTCTTTCTTCCTCTCTTCATCCACCATGACCAACGAAACACCAACACCGACCATGATTTTCAACCCTTTTCATCTCGCTCATGCCATACAGTTTTCATCTACGCATCTCGCCCCAACAGTTCCAACAGTTGGCCGAACAGTTCCAACAGTTGGCCCAACACTCCCAGTAATTATCGAGGTGGTAGCTCTTGGCGCAATCAGCGAGGTGGCGGTCGCATAAACCGTCGTGGTGGTCGTGGTCAGTCACGACATCCGATGCAACACTACGGTTACAATCAATTTCATAACCAATCGCAACCTTGGCGGGCCCCTTATACGCCTCAGACATCTTCATCGATTCTTGGACCCCCCCCCCCACCCTCCCAAACAGCACTTGGGGCATTGAACCAAACTCCCCCCCCCCGCCCGAAGTGATCTAGAATTAATAAAAAAAGAAGAATTTTAATATTTTATCAGCCGAAGTCCATTATATTTTTAATAAAGCCCAGATGGGCTTTGGGCTCTAAATTAAATCTTTAATTAGTAGAATGGGCAACCTCGTTTGGCCAATTATAAAATTTAAGTTGTTAAAATGGGCCAAGCTGTCTAAATAGTTT